ATCACATCCCCAGAGCTGTTTGTGCGGAAGATAATAATAGCAACAGCCCCCTTGGTCGGCAAACCAAGACCTACCGAGCATGAATACCCGAATACCCACGCTTGCCTCCGCTTGCGAGCCTGCTTGATCGTTATCCACAACGCGAATGAGCATGAGGAACTTGGCGTCAGGCCCCCTACCCAACCCACCGGCGCTAGGGCGTGAGCCGGTAGAGACTCTACCGCATTAGGGGTGTACCATGGCCAAGATACTTGGCAGGGCTGAACACCGCACCGACGTCAGTGGTGGTTGGGCCAGAAACTGTAGGTCCTGAAATCAACAGCCGTGAAACCTTCAACGGCATTAAAGATGCGGGACCCCTTCGTCCATCTAGACGAAGTACAATTAGTAAACGATCGGTCAACGCCATAACGGCATTCTATTGCCCTCATCGAAGCTAGGTCACGCTTTTAGTTCAATTATGAAGAAGACCGAGAGCGGAGAAAACAAAGCAACACGACAATGCTGGGAATGCCTCAAGAGGAGACTAGTCTGCGACCACACACTTCCAGGCTGCAAGAAATGTCAGAGAGCTGGCAAGGAATGTCCAGGATATGACGAACAAAAGCCATTACAATGGGTACAACCCGGCAAGGTGACCTCAAGACGAGGAAAGAAGAATAGCCCACCCAAAATTTACGCGATTACGGTGGAACCGCCCAAATGCACAGAACTTGAGTCCGAATCCACTCAGATCTCGAAGCCTACCCAAAGTATACCGCCCATCGATCCTTTCTTCGACAAAATACAAAGCCAATCAATATTCAATCCATTCCAATCGCCGAAAGAGGAAGAATGGGGATATCTCTCCGAAGATTATTACGAAAAGGTTGAACGAGAAGCTGCCTATAGAGACGCAAGCGAGCAAGCAATCTTGGACGAAATTTTTGGTCTCGGTGGTCGGGACAAGGTCCAGTATATCGTCCGCAATGGACTGGAAGACGAAGCAAAAGCGATGCTCAAATCAGAACCATATCCATTGAAGAGGCTACAACGCCTTCTCCATGTTATGCGATCGCAGGACGTTCCGAACTACAGCTATCTGAGCGATGAAACGAATGACATAGTTCAAGCTGTGAACTACTGTGAGCACATGCACAACGCGTTTATTTTCTGATCCATACTAATCGCCTCTGCAGATAATGTTCGAATACACCCATTGATGAGGCGATCATCAACGCTAGCCCCAAACCCGGCCTTGATGAAGTTTCCGCTGGGCGCTCTATACATCCTCCCTCCGGCGGTGCATCACACCCTAGTGTGTTTGTCCGTCAACCACTACATCCACAGCCTGCCAAGTGGAGCAGACAAGAGCGTAGTCTCTGCCAATAGATCGAAAATCATACAGCACCGTGGTAATGCAATCAGTGCTCTGAGTAAGTATGTGAGCAAAGATAAGACAAGATCCAGCGATCTTTCCATCTCAAGCATTCTTGTCTTTATGAGCATGGAGGTATGTCCCTTGAGATGTATATTTTTTTTTCTAAAAATGCTGATGAATGTAGCTTCAAAACCCACCTATGGCTGATTGGCGGTCGCATGCAGGTGGCTTAAACCGGCTGATTGGTATGCGTGGGGGCTTGCGGAAGCTGATGAAGGACTCACCATACCTTACCCCAACGTTGGCCGTTTTTGTCCTGTCAGTGCTCTGACTCTTCTCACACGGGGGTATTCAGCTAACGAGAAAACAGGATCCTGACAATAGCAAACACCTGTAGCCCTTCCTGGGACCAGCTAGATCTGTGCGGAAACCCGGACCAGAACATTAAGGACATAGAGTCGGTATACAACCTCCTCTTCCCTTACATGCTGTGTCCTCCAGCATTATTCTTCGACATTATGCGCATATCACAGCTTCGCCAAAAAGCCTCAGAGGTTCTGTTTTCTGGCGAGATGGATACCACTCATACACTGGAAGCGCACGACTTGCTCACACGAATCGAGGCGTTTAGTCCAGAAGACTGGGCGCAACCCGGCGAACACTACGACGAATGGCTGCTCATTGGTACAATATATCAGTCAGCTATCTCCATCTACTGCACCATGGCGTTTCAATCCTTGACACTCTTCCCCAGCACCATTGAGATGATCTCGATGCGCAAAGTACACGGCGACCTGCTCCTAGAGGGCCTGCGCGCAGGCATGAAATCACCCCGCCTGATCAACTTCATGATGTGGCCGCTTACCGTCGCTGGTGTGGAAGCCGGCTTCCGCGACCAAGCGACTCGATATTGGATCGCAGCACAACTGGGCGACCTAAGCCGACACCTAGGCACCAGCGGACCGCTGAAGAGCCAAGCTGTGCTGCAACGGTACTGGAAGAAAGAGGAACCTGGTTGGGACGAGTGTTTCGACAGACCGTACGTCTTCATCATGTGAGCAGCGGCATGCAGATTTTTGGATACTAAGTGTCGGCAGGGAAGTTTCTTTCGCACCTTGGATGGGGGGATAGGCTGCAGCACGATTACGGAAGGATGGGATCTATTCAGTGCGATGCGCCAGCTTGCTCGACGAGCATGTGAATGAGAAGTTTACTGCATCATGCGACCTTACACCACGCCTTGCACTATGATCATCGCTTATCAAGGTCTTGAACTAACGAATATTTGTCAAAAGAAGCCCCTGTAAATTTGATTGTCGAAGCCCATGATTGAAAGTTAACAATCAAGTTAAGTATGATGTGACTTGATCCATAACTGGCGAGAATGTGCCATGAACCCATCAAAAATCTGTAGTTGAAGCCGGTGTCCTTAGCCTAGTGAGAGCATCCGATTGTCCTCAATACGTGGGTGTCTGTTCTCTCGAGAGTACCTAGGTGCAGTTGGTGGGGATTCGTCGGACCAGAATGGGGCGTCACTATGACAACAAGAAGAAGCAAGTGTTTGACACGACCTTCACTCAATCGTCTTGATTCCAAAACTAGTGCGAATCACGATGATCGCTTGCAGGGATTTTTGCGAGACTACTGCAGTGGTGGCTGATCTACAACACGGCTATCTCGATCTGCAGGCTAAGTACCTCGTGGTTCACTGGGTCCGTGGGACTATTTCTACTTGACAGTGCCACCTAGCTGGAACATCTTCGAGCTTTGTGAATGTCATCTTGCAAGACCTGTGGTCTAGTCGGCGACAGATGATCAATCACAACTGATCCTGACCGTGCACAATGTCTACTACCGCACATTTCAAAGTCCTCCAGCACCGTGTTCTATGTCAGCTACTTCATCAATATGTTCAGGCAGCTTCACAGGGTGAGGAACACGAGCTGTCTCTTGCGGTAAAGCAATATGTGCCACGGAACCAGGAGCCCTCAAAGACTCGAGGCATTGATCTCACTACAATCGATTGTCATGCAAACGATGCTCCGAAAGAACTTTACGGGCCGCTCTGAGATTATTTTAACGAATACATGCAGCAGCCTGGTAGAATATGTATTTATCAAATCAGTTCCTAGTCGTTTCAATCACAATACCTGTCATCGCGCGCTCACTTCCCAGATTGGGTTTTCACGCTACATTGGTCTCCATCACCTTTCTGGCTTCTTCCCTAACGGTTTCAACGATCTGAGCCGCACCAAGGACGTCTCGGACTAGACCTATACCAGTACCAGCCCAGATTGCTGCTCTACCTTCAAGCCCAGTGCTGTAACCTTCGTCCGCTTCACCAATCGCTGCATTATGGAGCTTCTGAATATCGCCGAGCGTCACGCCGTTGGTGAAGTCTTTGTGACTTTGAATCACCAGACTGCGCCCATTGTAGATTTCGGGCCATATGTTGGGACCACGGAGTTGGTCGAAGAGTTTGGAACGTGTCGTGACTTGGCCGCCGTCATGCGCTTCCAGTACTGCTGCCTGGTACTTTGGATGCACGATTACCTCTTGCGACGCGAGGAAGCGCGTGCCCATGACAACCCCCTGAGCACCCAATACAGTCGCAGCTGCAACGCCTCGGCCGTCAACTATACCACCCGAAGCCAGGATTGGTATGTGAGCAAAGCCTTCACGCGCAAGTGCATCGCACGTTTCAGGGACCAGCGAGATGATCCCTGCGCCTTTCTCGAAACCGTGACCACCTGCGTCTGCACCCTGGAGGCAGAGCGTGTCCGGCTTTGCTGTCCTTGCAACATGTAATGCTGCTGCAACGCTGCCGACTTGCACCCAAATCTTGCTCAACGGTGAACGTTGGCGCATTGAAGCAGCCCAGGTTGCATAATCATCCAGCTCTTTTGATGCGAACAGCCACACCACCGCGGGCTTGTATTGCTCTACAACGGGTAATGCGTCCTCAAGCTTGAGCGCGAATGGTAGAAAGCCGACACCGATAGGTAGTGTGTCGTGCGACGAGAGCTTTGAGTCCGCTGCTATCGCCTCTGATGCGATGCGCAGTTCATTACGAAGCTCGTCCATGTCGAATTTACTCCCGATCATTCCTAGACCACCCGCACGGGTGACGGCGGACGCAAGCGCGCCTCCAGCAAAGCCCGCCATGGGCGCATTCACGATGAGTGGCGACGATGTCCATGGGAAAGTATCTGTGAGTTTTGCCATATCTGGTGATGGGATGTGATGAAAGCTGGTCAGACAAAGGCGATACCTGTCATGGCCGATACAGCTTACGGCTGACTCATTGCCCACAGCCTTGGAGCTCTTGTGCTCGAAGAGACGTTCCCAAATCTTGCAAGAACTCCTAGACAGCACTATTACAGATGACTAGGGTGGGAAATATGCATACCAGAACGATAATAAATCAGGAGCATGATGCGAGGGCCCTGCGACCCACGCGAACAGGACAATGAAGACCGAACTTCTGCGGAGACATGTCATGTTTACATGTGGAGCAAACGAACAGCCTAGCAGCACTAGACCTTGACTAGAACTCGAGAGCTGGACGTCTGCAGGGATGATCAATTTTTTTATACGATATATATATCATGACTTTCCATTTCTCCATAATCAGAACAATGGTTCGATGGTGTAGTTGGTTATCACGTTCGCCTCACACGTTCATCACGTGATTAGATCGCGAAAGGTCCCGAGTTCGAGCCTCGGTTGAATCATTTTTGCCTTTGTCTTTGATTCGCTTCGATGCTCGAGTTCATTTTATTTGAACGCAAGTCGTAGTGGCTCTTTTTGCACGATCTTGGAAACTCGTCAGGAGTTTCGAGGGTTCCGAGTGTCCCGGCGCGATGCGGAAGCTTCCGAAACTTGGCGAACACCGCACTTTTTGCATGGGACGTGGTAGGCTGCAACTTTACTGGTATCACAGGCACTTTCGTCCTGCGCATAACTAACCTAATCTTGCTTGAATCATGCCAAAGGGTTTGCAAGTCGGGTACATTCAGATGGGATCGAGGCAAACGACTATTCACTTGTTCCGCAAATGACCCGCACAGTAGCATGCGATCGTAATCTACACTGTGTGTCTTGATGCTGAAGGCCGCACGTCTTGCGATGCACATGTGCCATATTCAGGTCCTTACAAAACCTATCTGGAAGGCTCGGAACTTCTCGGCACACTGCGGGGAATCACTCAATGGACCTTGTCGCCTTCGCGGCCACGCTGATGCTTCTTCATTCGCTCCAATTACCCCGCAGTCTATATTCCTTGATCATGTATACATTACCGAGAGGCCGTGGTTCAAAATAGCCCCGATGTTGCCGTCGAAGAAATGAGTCGCCAAGAGTCAGTCTTCACGAGTAATAGAAGATCATCGCAGAGAACCTTTGCAAACTCGCAAGCAACGGGCAGCTAGCGAAGCTTTGCGTTACCATAGGCTTGGAACATCTTGTGTGATTGAGGCTTGTCGCTTGATCAGCCATGCGTGACACAATCATGTATGGTCATAATACCCAACTATCATCATCTCTATGTTCTGGTAGGATGTCCTTCAATCCCGATACTGTACTCGGGTCAACGGTACTGGAGCACCCTACTCTTACAACATACCATGATCATGGATCCACAATGACGAAACTTTGATGACGAGCCCACGTGCGGAAGTCTAAGAGGCCATCTCCGTGGAGCAGGGGTGCTCGAACACATTGAATCGTTCAAGATAGCTCATCGATCCGGAAGCGAGGTACCTGTTTGAGCCGAGAAGCTCTACCCGGCAAGCCTGATATGTTACCTTCTCGCTCCCTTGTTCAATACATCTGAACAGTTCTAATGTTATCGTGTTTCTGACTATATGCCATCTATCATGACTTCTGAACTCGAACATCCATCCAAGCGCTCGCAATTCAATGCCTACAATTTCCTAGTATGCTTTCTTGTCAGTCTTGGACAAGTTGCTTTCGGGCATCCTGCCAGTATCATTGGGACCACATTAGGTGAACCGCCATTCCATGTATACATGGGCTTGGTGGATGCACAAGGTAAACCGACCGCTAATTCGGAGAGTCTGATCGGCACGATGAACGGGATATTCCAGGTAGGTTCGCCGTACATTCACTGCAGAAGAACAAGCGATTACTGATGCAACCAAGGCTGGCGCTGTCCTCGGCATCCTTTCTTCATCCTACATCATGGATCGCTGGGGTCGCAAAGCTGGCGTTTGGTATTGTTCATTCTTCAGTCTCGTGGGCGGAGCCCTGTTGTGCGGCGCGCAGAATGTGGGCATGTTTATTGCTGCCAGGTTCATCGCTGGCTGGGGAAGTTGGGGTTTTCTTGCCGTCAGTAAGTCTTACAATCAATTTGCCATTGGCAACAACACGGACTAATCTTGCTGTAGCACCGACGTACTCCGCCGAGCTCGCGCCTCCAGGACTGCGCGGCTTCTTTGTCGGCATGAACGGCGTCAATATCGCGCTTGGTTATGCCATCGCAAGCTATATGGGCATGGCCTTCTACTTCGCATCATCCGATGATGCTAAATGGCGCGGCCCCCTAGGCATTGCACTGATCTGGCCCGCTATGATGATCGCCATCACCTTTATTGTGCCCGAGTCACCGCGTTATCTCCTCATGAAAGGCCGGATCGAAGAGGCCCGCGCTATTGTCATGAGACTGCACAGCATCAAGGGCGATCCCGACCAGGAGTTTGCGAGAGGTGAATTCTATCAGATGGTCAAACAGACCGAGGTTGATAGGACGTTGGAGCCAGGTTGGATCGCCATGTTCACCAAGAAAGGATATCGTCGCCGTACAGCACTCGCGATGGGTTTCGCATTTGTTGGGCAGTCCACGGGCGTTCTCGTCATCAATAATTACGGTCCCACTCTGTATGCGACGTTAGGATACGATACGTAAGTCAATACCAAGACTCGACAACCCGATCTTGTCGCTGATGACCTACCAGAAAGCAGCAGCTTGAACTCCAATGTGGATGGATTACTGTTGGCATTATCTTCAATGCCGTTGGTGCAGTGTTCATGGATAAAGTTGGCAGAAAGCCGCTCATGCTGTTTGGTGTCGGCGGTTGTTGCGCTTGTCTCATTGTCGAAGCAGCCATTGTCGCTACTTATGCAGATGAGGCGACGAACAAGACTGCTCTCGCAGCTGGAGTGGCCATGTATGGTACTCGTCTAGACATGTGATGTTTTCGCTAATATCTTGGCAGGTTTTACCTCTTCCTCGCAGTATATAGCATGGGCGTTGACGTTGCTGGTGTTGTCTTCTACTCCGAACTCTTCCCCAACCACATCCGAGCAAAAGGCGTGTGCCTCAGTATGGCTACCGTCGCGCTCACAGATCTGGTTTACTTGCAGGCAACCACCACGGCTTTCGCCAACATAGGATGGCGTTTCTATCTCGTGTTTATCATCATCTGCGGTGTCGGCGTCGTCGGCGCGTATTTCGTAAGTCATCGCTGTCTACCATACTTTTACTTACTAGTTGTCAACATTGCTGATGTATGTCACAGCTGCTTCCCGAGACGAAAGGTATACCCCTAGAAGAAATGGCCCGTATCTTCGGCGATGATGTCGTGGTTAATCTCGAAGATGTACATATTAACCACAACACGCACGAATTGATAGTAGGTAGTGGCAAAGAGAACGGCTTGGAACACGTGGCAACACATCAAGGTATGACACCAGAGGTCGAGAAAGCGATCCGCGAGGAACACGATAAGCGAGAGAAAGAAGAAAACATGGTACACAAGGAGAATATTGGAACCATGTAGAACGATTATGATTTTGACGGCTACATGGCATACACCAGCGATTTTAAATTTACAATGAATGCGGTGAACCTGAACGCGGTCGTGTGGCTATTTTACGCATTTTGATATGTACGGTGAAATGATCCCACATCAATTCTGTCTATCTTATTATACCTAACTTTACAGCAGAATGATTCTGCAAATATCTGTGCTCATAGGTTCCCGTAATCAGACTCAGAACTAGTACAAAGTCCTGCACACAGTAGGCTATAACGAACCCTCTATGTTATCTTAGACAGGCAGATGCTCGCGTGGAAAATAGTGCCCACAGGCATCGTTTGCCTCTAAACTTCTCAGCGGGGAAATCACACAAGTATTGAAGCGATCATGGATTTGTGAGCAGAACTGCAAAAGTCCACACAAAATGCACCTCCGTGATTCCCGTATACCGAAGTAGTAGACCCTTTTCAAGTTACTAGGGTAAAAAACTCGATAAGGATCAGAATAGGGGGTTAAGGCTCTGGTACGTGCGTGTCAAATCAAAATGGAGCTTTCTGATATAAAGGCAACTTTTAGAGCGGCGATGGAAGACCGTGAAGAAGGTTTGGAATTACAATGGAAACCCGCACGACATGAAATATCAGGTATAGCCCAGCGTGCGCCGTAGGTATTTGGTTCCCACCCCTTTTTTTGCTTGGTGACCACCGTTAAATCTTCGTATGGCATAGCTAGCCAAGCCAATCAACCCCAATGCTAGCCAGTGGCGAGGCGGGCTCGTACAACTCCCCCTGGGTAAAAGATCCTGACCCTGGCCCTGACCTTAACATACAGCTAGAGAGCTTATAGCTTCTTTAAGGGGGCCATTGTTTATAGCTGTATCAAACTTCTCTTCGAGACGACCAAGTATCCCACTTCCTGTAATCCGACCGTGTACTGCAATCGTGTCGTCTGGGTTGATTTTGGTAGAAATATCAACATATACTGTTGGTCCGATAAATGACAAAGGGAACGCTAATTTCCCACTGAAGGCGTAGTCTTTTGTGCGATAGATCGTCAAAGTGGTAGAGCCGCTCTGTGCGGCAAAACCACAAGCAACATAGAGCCAGACGTCTAGCTCTATTCTATTGCTAAAGACTCTAGCGTTGTTGACAGTGAGCTGGTAGTTGTAAATGCAAGCAGTGGTGACGACACTGTTCGTAGACGTTTCTCTTAGTTGGATGTTGAGGTTGCTCAGTGTTGACAGTGGTCGATCTCCTTTCAGGTGTACTGAAAAGTCGTTGGCGGTGGCGTTCCAGCAGCACTTTGTTACTTCATTCAATGGCACTTCGAGGCTGTTGATTCCATAGACACACTGGCCCTCATTCAAAGCCGTCCCTTCTTCGCCTGGGCTGCAGCAAGACTGAGAGTCGAGCTTGTACGCGGCCTTGACATGCTTCTCGCCACCAGCTACAGACTGCAGGAAAACCAGCTGGGTTGGTTCAAAGCAGCATTTCCCGTACGCTCGGCGATTGCTTATATAGGCACCGTAGGAACAAATACCATCGTACGATGCCGATGGTTGAGTACCTTCCGGACACGTGGCGGCATCTCCGCTGATGTCGATGAGACGGAGGGCTGATTGGGCGACAGTAGTTGACGCTAAACTGAATAAGACGGCAGCTGCAGCTGTAAATGCGGCAGAATTTGGATAAGTCCAGTACATGTCGAAGGATAGTGTTGTGGTGTGAACCGAATTGTTTGCAGAGGTACGAGATCTGATAAACACGGCTCCTGGATATTCAAGCACCACATATCTTTCTTGTAACAGTCGCATGGATATAGGCAGACACGATTATTTTCATTCCTATGAGCATTCCATCTACAAGCATTCCACTGAACTTTGGTGGTTGTTGTGTGAGGTTACCCTCAGAATGTATTTGCATAGCGTGCCGAATTTACCAACCTAGCCCATTCTT